CCCTGGGCTGGCAGGACGTGTCACTGCTTCTGTTTGTGAGGGGAAGCTCAGGACTGACCCCCAGAAGCACCCATGTGCTTCAGACTCATTTCTAAGTGATTTGACTGGGGTTATTCAGAGACATGGTGGCAGAGGTCAGAGAAGTGGCTCAGGTCTATCTGCCCCTAATTGTCCTCTGTGGCCAAGAAAGGAGAACAGAGCATCCTCGTGCTGGGCAAACACCTTGCTGCTGTTCACCCTGCTCCACTGCCTCTGCGTTTTGCTAGACCCGTCAGTGATGCAAGCAACACCAGCTGCACCTTGGAGGCATTGACTGGCCCCACAGAGCATCGTTCTGCAGCAGCTCCAGTCCCCAGGGAAGTTCCTGGGCACTCACCTTGCTGCTTCAGCCAGGCCCGCTCCTGGATGAAGCCGATGAAAGGGGCTATGCCTGTCCCTGGTCCGATCATGATGACAGGCGTGCTGAGTTTGAAGGGCAGTCGGAACTGCGACTTCCTGACATACATGGGCACCAGGGAGTTGCTCCCATTCTTGTTGGGCACTTTGTTCTTGAGCCAGTTGGTGGCCACCCCTTTGTTCAGGCGTCCTGTCTTGGTCTCGTACTCCACCATCACAGCACAGATGTGGATGGCGTTGGGGTGAACCTGCAGGGAAAGGATGTGAGCACCAGGCAAGAGAGGGAGCCCCACCTGAGGTCCTGGGCAACCCCACAGCTCAGTCCCTGGCACTCAGGGATGGGCAGAAGTTTAACCCAGTATTAACATTGGGACAGCTACTCCATTCCTGGCAGTTCGAGCCTCCAAGCACACCCCGCATGGGGCTTCTGTCTGGTTTCTGACTCATCACAGGAGTGCTGAGCTTCCCTCAGTACTGCCAACAACCTCAGGGCTTCAGGCACAAAGTAAAGAGTGAATCTGACTGGAGAAGAGAAGGCTCCGGGGAGATCTTCTAGCAGCCTTCCAGTACCTAAAGGGGTCTACCAGAAAGCTGGAAAGGGAATTTTCACAAGGGCGTGTAGTGACAGGACAAGGGGTGATGGATTTCAGTTGAAAGAGGGGAGATTTCCATTAGCTCTAAGGAAGAAATTCTTCCCTCTGAGGGTGGTGAGGCACTGGCACAGGTTGCCCAGAGAAGCTGTGGCTGCCCCATCCCTGGAAGTGTTCAAGGCCAGGTTGGATGAGGCTTTGAGCAACCTGGTGTAGTGGAGGGTGTGCCTGCCCATGGCAGGGGGGTTGGAACTAGATGGTCATTGAGGTCCCTTCCAACCCAAACCATTCCATGAACCTCTGTGGTCACCAGGGCAAATTGCCCATGTGCTCGGAGCAGGGATGGTGGCACTGCGGAGCTGCAGCTGAAGCAATCTCAGCAGCCTCAGTCCCTGCTGGAAGCACGCTCACCTTGGAGGAGGAAGCGATGGAGTAGTAGCGGGCCTGCAGGCGGGGCAGGAGCTCACACAAGTGGTCGATGGGGGGGCGCAGCGAGGGCATGTCCTGCAGGATGGCCAGGATGTTCCTCCGGGCCTCCACCACCCAGCTGAGGTAGAGAGCCTGCGGGCAAGGACGGCACATGCGTGATGGCTTCCCTACAATGCTGGCAAGCACTCCCTCAGCTCTCTGCACGTGGTGCCCAACAGTCCTGGATCCCTTTTTGGGGATTCCCCCCTGGACCCAGTTCCACCCTGCAGCTTTGCTGGGAAAGCCACAGCTCCCACCTTCCCCTCGGCAGCAGACGATGCCATTTTGCGGAGGCGCTCCTGCTCGCCAGCGTCCGTGGCGTACTGGGCCAGCTCATAGAGGACGTTGGTGCGGGGCGGGTTGGTGATGTCCAGGTAGTATGTCAGGGCTGTACGGTAGGACGTGGGGCAGGGGAAGGGATGTTTCTTATTGGATTCCTCTGGAGGAGAGAAGAGGAGAGGAAAAAAAAAAATTAAAAATCAGCAACCGCACATTTATGTTAGAGATTTTGTGCTGGCAGCTACATACAGTGTACGAGAGCTGGAGACAAGAGCAGGGCAACAGGCATTAGTGAGGAGAGAGCAGCCCTAGGGATGAACCAGCTCCAGCACAGGGCAGCTCCCTCTCTGGTAGCTACATCTCCCAGCAGCCCATTTGTGTCTCACAGGTGCTGCCTGACAGTTTATCAGCAAAAAAAAACCCCACAAAACCACCACACAACACCCACGTCATGCTTCCCAATGGGGCTCCCTGCTCCGAGATATCCATGCACAGAGGCACCCAGCACACTCTCAGACCAAGCAGGAGGCTGTTCAGCATGGACAATTCGGCCTCACGCACTTACACCTCCTTAGATCTGGCCTCAAAAAGTGTCCTTTGTCTCCCTCAGCCACGGGCAGCTGTGCTGAGAGCCCCCTTGGCAAAGACAAGCACCAGCAGCCGAGCCTGGAGCCACCCAGTTCAGCAAATTAAGAGGTCCATAAGGGACAGGAACGGCAGCGTGAGGCCGCCCAGCCTGGGACACCACGCGAGGGGCCACAGGCTCCAGCGGTGCAGTAAAGCTGCTTGCTCTCTGGAAACCAGGAGCCAGCTCTTGGGCTTCTGGACCAGCACCTCTGATGCCTCAGGCCAGGCTGCAGCGCTTCAGGAGCGAGATGGGCAGCAGCTGCCATCTCCCTCCTGCCAGAGGCCAGCTCTGCTGGGAACACTGCCCAAGAAAAGCTTGGCACAAGTGCTCCCTCCTGGCAGTTCAGTCCCCAAGCCTGTGCCTCCTCCAAGCTCTGAATAACAGCATCTCAGACACGAAGGCCCCCATTGAGCTCCAGGGCTGCTGTGGCACAGGGATGCTCTGGCAGGCTGATGCTCTGTCATTAGGAGTGTGCTGTTGCATAATTTCTTGTTGAACGGGTGCACCGTGCCCGTGCGTTTCACAACTGACCCACTTCAGCTGGCTCCCAGCAAGCGGGCTCTGTGCCATTGCTGCTAAAATGGCACGGCATTCAGAGCAGCCACGAGACATCTCTGTTTGCCTGGAGGTGCCGTACGGGACCCGGAGGTGATCTGGCTCCTGCTCTGGTGGGAAGGACAGAGGCCATGGCTGAAGGAGAACTGCTGATGCTCAGGGGTGATCCATACTCACCATCCAAGTTGTTTAGAGACATGACTGTATCCAGATCCGTGCCCAGGATCTCGCCAATCTGATTGACCAGAGAGGAGTCATTGGCTGGGTACACCGCCACATGGTCCCCAGACTCATACCTGGCATGAGAGCAAGAGGAGAGCAGATGAAACACCAGCACTGGCATCTCTTCCACCCCAAGCCTGAGATGCTCAGCTAGAAGACAGGTGGGCTGGTGCAAGGGGCAGTAGGACACCACCGAGATCTGAGCTGCTACACAGTGCCCTCACGATCACGGACTCCGAAGAGCCAGGAGTCATAGCAGAAAGGACAATTGTGGAATAATGGCTTTAAAACCAGGTCTTCTACAGGGAACGTCCAAGATAAGAGCAGTTTTGCCTGAGACTTGAACAAGGCCAGACTTCCAGCAAGGACAGGCCAGGTCCCTGACAGGCAAGAAGCAAAGCTGCTCAAAACCTCTGCAGTATTTTCTGACGTTAAGTCACCTGGATTTGTGGCCTTCTCACAAGCACGCACAGAGGAATTCAAGCCAGCAAGAGGGATTTTAAGAACGGGGCTTTAATCCCCCTGTGCTCGTACTTCTAAGCCAAGCAAACCCAGGCACGAGCCATCCCCAACTCTCCCCTCTCTTGTAGCTTATCTGCCCCCTCATCATTTGGGTGACCCCTAAACAACTCCTGCAGCTGGGACTGCTCGGGTAGGACGGGTATGTGCAGCCAGCTCTGGAGGGGCACAGACAGGCAGCTGGCACGGCCAGGCACAGCACAGAGCTGGGGTACCTGATGTGTGGCACAGAAGCCCAGAGGGGCAGTGTTAAGTAATTACAAGAACAAGGTCTCCTTCTGAAGTGTCGGACGAGGCCCGTGCCTCATCCTCATTCTTTGCTTCTAATGCAGACCGCTCCTGCCAAAACAGAAGACCAGTCTCCCATGGGAAGCTACCGGATTTTGGAATTGGAGATATCCAGCTCCAGGTGCATCAGGTGTCGCTCTCCACCCTCGTTCAGCTTGCGGTTCTCCGTAACCTGGGCCAGGAAGGGGTTCTTGGCATCAAATGGTCTGGAAGGAAAGACAAAGACCCTCTGGGTTACTCTCCTGCAGGCTCACAGCGCTGCTTGTATGCAGGCACGTTCCCTCTGCCTCCGGAGCAGGTTCTCATGATTTCAGCACAGGGCTGGCCTGGCTCATGTTTCAAAGCACAAACCAAATCATGATCCTGCTGCCACCCACGCTGGCTCAGAAAACAGATCATTTTTCTTCTAAGCACAGCCCAGAGGTCAACAGCTTCTGTTCCATTAAGAACAAGCAATGCAAAAGCAGACTGCAGGGAATGTCACATCTCAAAGAGACATTTCAGGTTGGAAATAATTAATACAGCTAAGCTCCCCAAGGCAAAACTGCAAGCAATCATCACGCATTAGCTACCCTGGGCGAGGAAAGGCTCCGAGTGACCTCAAGACAGATGCTGCAAAGGTACCAGCCAAACAGTGCACGTGAATGCTGTCACCTTCTCAAAGGCTAATGATTCATTAACTGGGGAATCCCAGAGAGTCCCAGTGGAGACCTGAGCCCATTCCTCTTGGGCAGACGTTTGCCAGGTGGCTGCGTTGCAGAAATGACACTGCTCACACAGCACGTGTTGTTAGAAACGACAGACTCCATCAGCCAAAGCCTGGAACACCTCGCCCAGGGTGGACTGGCACTTACGGCTTCTGGTTCTCGTAGCTCTTGAGACGACCCATCTCCCCGGTGTAGACTTTGTTCATGTTCACGTCTGTGTGCACCACCAACTCATACTGGCGGATGCTGGAGGAGGAAGGGGGAGAGAAAAAAGTCAAACTGGAAATCACAAGGTGCAGTTGGAACCATCACCTGGATTTGCTGCAGTTCACACAAAAGCCACTTCCAGGCCTCTGCCCCTCTTGAGGCATTAGGGAGCAGGCAGACCACACAGAAAGCGCAAACCAAGAGGAAATATCAGCTTCACTGGGAGCATCACAACCCAGCAACACCATTCACAAAGGAATCCAACCCATCATGTCACCCATCCAGAACAGAAATCCAGAGCTGGGTTCAAATTCGCACCAGGACAGGCTCAGTCCAAACAACCTCGCTCACCGCCTTACTTCACACGTGCCCTCTCAAGTATGGAAGAGGAAGAAGCACGCGGGAAAGGGGACAGCAGGTCAGGGCTGACAGCACAGCCACCAGTCAGAGGTGGTCAATCTCTCTGGCACCCAAAAGAACCTGCTCCCACACCCACCTGGACTCTTCTCCTGTAGCCTCCACCCCGAAGTGCTCACACACTGCTGGCCAGAACTGTTCTCTCCAAGTGATGAAGTCTTCTTCCAGGCTAGCCAGGGCAAAACAGAGATTCAATAACCCTGCCCAAGGGAGGAGCAAAGGGACGTTCCCAGAGAAGCCATCTGAGACCCCTATGGTCTTCCTCCTTCACGATGGGAAAAGGCATTTGCCCTTGGACCCAGGCAGTTTTGGTACCTCCACATGCCCACAGATCACCAGGAGAGCATCTTCGGAGCAGTAAGTGTGTGGGAGGAAGTGAACTGTTGCTACACCAGCCACCCCTCCCTTCACCAGATCTGCTTTGTTATTCAGACTCTGTCTTTAACCAACTCAGTTTCCCTTCGCTGACTCCAAGCATCAGGTCACCTTCCCAAGAGACAGATTCCACCATGGCAATGCTTATTTTTCTGGGCTCAGAGCCTCCCCCACACAGCACATTCCTCTCATCAGATCTTGCAGCCCTTAGAGGCAAAGCCACAGGTTGATGTAGTTTCCCAGGTTAAGCTGCTACCCACAGGGTGCTCAGGTGAGCATAAAGAGGTAAAAAAAAAAAAAAAAATCATCTAAGTTGGAAAATTGCTGCGTTTTACCACAAAGTTCACAAGGAGATGGAGTTTGTCTCCTCCACAGGGATGGGTGAGCTTGTCCATGCAGGCTGGGTTAGCAAGGGAACTGCAGCAGGGCAAAGGCAGAGGAGGCTGCAAAGCCTCCTGAGTACACAACTATGGCCATTTAAAGCTGATGTGGCACTTCCCAGACACAGGATCCCCTAGGATGCTCTAAGTGTATAGGGATCTGATTGTGGGAGAGGGAGCAGACAGACACACAGAGACATGTCAGCTCCCACAGCTAGTCCTATGGAGTTTATTCCTGTCTTAGCAATAGAGCCAACTCCCTGCCAAGGTCTGTTCCATGATGCGTTAGCCAGTTCTGACCAGCCTTCAAGCCAAGCTACTCACTTGCCATCGTCATCTCCCAGCCCAAGTTCAAAGATGCGTTGGGCTCCAAGCTCCTCTAGTCTCTTGTCCACATACTTTCCCATGGCATTGAAGTGCTCGTAAGTCTTGTTCCCCAGCCCAAAGACCTGGAAGGGAACATTGATTAAGTGTGGAGAAACACAGACTGGATTCCTCCCATCCAGCCAGCAAAACTTCTCCCAGCTCCCCATCAGCTATTTGTGGACCTTGAGTAAGAATCTACGGCTGGAGAGTGCCTGGTCAGTAGGCACCACCACCTCCTCCGAGCCAGGCTTCAGGCATGTTGAGAGGATGAACATGCAAGAGCTGCCTGCATCAACTCATCTCCTCGAGGGACCACGCCTGGACCACCTGGAGACCAGCTGTTGTCCCTTGCCTCCCACAAACTGCTCAGCAAACGTTTGCTCACTGCTTTACACAGAGCAGCTTAACATTGACTTCAGCAGTGAGTTTTCTGCTCATTTGCAGTTATTATGTTGCTTAATGAATTTGGCCGGGGTTTAGGTGAGGTGGCTGTATCTCAGCCAATTATTCAGCTCAGCACAGGAAGAGCTACACGCTCCTCTGAGTGATTTAATTTGTGGGAGAAGATCTGGCTCAGGGCTGCTCAGTTAGCTCCTGAACAGCAGCAGCAGCCTGTAACTTATTTACAGACCTTGTACTCAATATCTGCTGGGCTGTCTGTGGCAAGACATGACCAGCGAACCCTTGTGATGCAGGAAGGAGAGAGAGCACTCCGACATCTGCATTGAAAGCCCTCAGACAGCTGTTTCCAAGTGTCCACAAAGCCTGGAGAAGACGACAACAGGGACCGCATCCAACACAGGCGTGCAAGGCACAGACATCCCGTTGTGCCTTTACCCAAGCCATGTGCAGGCAGACTGGAGGCTTTTGACTTTCCTGCCTAAATGCAGCACGAACTGGAAGTGAGCCACTTACTGCAAATCGGAGACCCGACAAGTCAGCGTCAGTCTCCTGTAGCCAGTCGTAGAAGTCTTGGGCATTATCTGTGGGATCACCCTCGCCGTAAGTGGCCATGCAGAACACAGCTAAGGACTTGTCAATCTCAGAGAGGCGACTCAGGTCCGACTACAACCAAAGGAAGAGAGTAAACCCTCAAGGATCCCACAACGTGGTTACTGGGCAAGCCCATTTGTACAATGCAGCCACCTCTGGTGTGCAGAGCAGCACCATGTAATGTAAACCAGCTGATTACAAAAGGGGTTTGGAAAGGCCAAACCCATCATAAACATCAGGGGAAGTAAAGCTAACCACCCTCACTGGACTGTAAATCAATACTTCTGCCCCACCAGAAAAGCGATGGGATTTCCATACAAGGCTTTACGGACGAGGATCGTCATTCGCTCTGGAGAACACCACAGTGCCAATGCCTCTGTGCAAGACTGCAGAAGGAACATGGGGCAAGTTTCATGCTGCCAACAGACGACTCTCAAACACTCCAGGTTACCTTCCTCTTTCAGTCATGTTGCAGAGCTCACCCCAAATTTGTAGAGTGGCAAGGACCAAGCCCATCTCTCAGGCCAATGTGATTTCCTTTCCTCCCCTAAATGACACTACTATAAAGGGCACCTATCCCTTGGCCAGGCTCTTTCTGGTGTGAGTTTGTTGGTTTTTTTTAGGGGACGCTAAAGGATGTTGCCTGTCCTGAGGCTGTTCATGGCTAAATTACCAAGTCATACTCCTCTGGATCCGCTGCCATGCCCCGGAGGCCATAGCGATGAGCATCTTTGGCGAGGCGATTGGCAAACTCCTCCGCTGTACCCGTCTGGGAACCATAGAAAACCACTATATTTCGCCCCTGGAGAGAAAAAGAAATCCCTGTTAAATGGTGATTACTCATTTGGCAAACGCATGGAGGAAGCATCTTGTCAGAGACAAAGGAAACGCCTGGGATCAGGAGCCCTGGACCACAACCTAAAGGCAAATAGGAGCCTGCACTTGTACGGGGCTACGCCGGGTTTGCAGCAGAAAACTCGAGGCTAAGCTGTCAGACTGACCGTCTTGTCAGTCTTAGAGAGGTGACTCGGGTCGGACTAAAACCCTAAGCAAAGAATAAACCCTCAGGATTTATCCTCAGCCTCAAGGCTGCAGCGCGACTCCTGGAAACAGGGAGCTCCCTGGATGAGAAAGCAGACTTGCCTAAGCTTTGGGATAGTGCCTGAGCACCGGAGCTCCTGCTCTGCTGCAAGCCAGCTACTTGGAAGTCAAATGGAAAATACATCCAGCCCTTGCATCTTCCTCTGCTTCCTCTTGCTTTCAGTCCAGCACAGAGTCAAAAGCTGCCAGGTCTGTGTACAACAACTCCCATTCCAGAGTGAGCCAGTTTGGGAACCAACCACGCAGATAAATGACTGCCAGCCAATGACTTCAAAGCCTCTGACATTTCCCTCCTGACTTTGATCTTGTATCACACTTTCTTTTGCACCAAATCATCACTTTAGTTTTCTAAGAGCAACTCTCAGGCATAGACTGAGACCTACTCCTGCCTGCCCACACAGCCTTCTTCTGGGTGCTCTTTGCAGCAGACACGTGTCTGTATCCAAACCAGTCCCCTCTGCTGACAGTCAGACAGTCTCCAGAGGAAACTGGGAAGGACAAAAGCTCCCCCACCTTCCCAGCACCCCACATAGTCAGAGCAAGAAACTTACCGTCTTCTTCATCTTCTCAATGAAGCTGCTGTCTCTCACTGGAGCTGCTCTGAAAGACAGGAGGAACCTCCTTTCAGATGGGCACGTTCATTCTGTAGGGTCAGGAATGAGCACATGGGGAAAAGCTGCCCTCAAACCATATCAGATCTTGGGAAGGCTGCCCAAAGCGGTGAGATTCCCCATCAACCACTCTTATTTACCCTGTCCCAGGGATGCCCATTGCTCGGCTGCAGGACTTCTCTGCACACAGCCATGGACCAGGGACTCTCAGAGCAGAAAGGAAAAGCTGACGCCCTGTCTCACCTCCATCAGTAAATCCTCCCACAGGCAGAGCTCAGGAACTCAGCCCTGGCTATCAGGAAACCTTTACTCTACCAACTGCTCAGAGGTTTCACAGCTGAGCAGGTTACAAGGATCTCAGAGCTATGACGCAAGAGTAAGTCTCCAGATAAATCTCAGAGGCCAAGTCACAGTGGAAGAGAAGGGAATGGAGAGCTCCCTGCTTCTCCCTCCATGGTGGACAGGTCCTGAGCCATGCCCTCAGGGCAGACTCCCCAAGCCTGAAGTCAGACAGGGCTAAACCCCAGCTGTTCTGACCTCCAAACAGCACGCCAGACATGAGTCCCAGAGCTGGAGACAGATGCAGTGGACCAGACAGATGCAGCTGATCAGGCCCACAGAGCCTCTGGCAAGGCAACCGCTGCCCACCGACGTCCCACAGGGCTCATTCCCACACCAGGGTTTCCATTCCCAGCGCAGATCTCCAGCTCAGAGGGCGTTTGCATTATTGCGTGGAGCTCGGGAGAGGGACAGACCACAGGAGCACTGGAAACATCAAGGCAGACATTCACACCACTACAGCTGCCCTCATCTCAGGCAGAGAGTCAGAAGAGCTTTGCTACCCTAAGCATGGGCTTTCAGTGTCACAGGGTGAGAGCAACCCAGCCCTGGGGACCCTGGGAGCCCCACAAGCAGAGCTGGCTCTGGCTACAGTCAGGTTAAGTGTCGGGGTCTTTTCAAGGCAGGAAGACAAGTGCCAGGACCTCACTTGCTGTCTTCCCCACTGGAGCTTTGGTAGCAGGGAAGAGGAACGTGGGACCCGTTCCCATTTCTCTTTCACAATGGAAGAATGCAAGGCTGGGTCTCCTGTGGGAAGAGAGAAGCCTCCAGGCAAAAAACAAATGGTTTTGGCTCCGGCCCATGTGAGAATGTGCAGAGCTCACTAACAGTTTCCTAAACTCTGCAGCCCAGAGGGAGGGACCTCTGCGGATGTTCTGAGACATTTGCAGAGCACACACACACACACAGAGCGGCAGGGTGGGGGATGATCAGTAAAGCACGCCTTCAAGCACCCCTTGCTACCCAAAGGTATCAAGGAGCTCCACAACCGGGCCTGACAGCACTGACAGTCCCAGACAGCACACGCTGAAGGCCAGTGAACCCTACCCAAAAAAGCTGCCCCAGGCAGCTGTGCTCCCAGGAGGGAGCTGCTTCGTGTGCCCCACTTCGCTTTCTCAACAGTTAGCAATCTCCCCATGTTGTCATTAGTCCCCTGTTGGGAGCAGGGATACCCAAGCATCTTGGAGAAAGCAGCTCCAGAACCCTGCCCGTGCTACCGCCGGGACGGGGGCTCGGGAGAGCTGCCACCCTGCCCGCTCACAGGACTCAGCTCTCACTTAGCTTCTGGCTCGCTGACGAACCTCTTTGGCTTACTGCCCTCAGCAAATGAGATCCAATTAAAATAGCTGTTGGGTCAACTGCTAAACCAAACACTTTTAAAAGAGGAAAAAAAAGTTTCAGATCCTTTCAGCAAGCTTCCTTTGGAAAAGAAAAGGGTGTAGCACACGGAGCTCATCCGTTTTCAAAGGAGGCAACCCTGCACTGAAGCGTTGTGGTGGAGAAGAGTCTGTGGCTCAGACACAGAAGAAATAAGTCTGGCTCTCTGAAATTGCTTCATCAGGCTTGAAAATCTGAGCTGCAAAAATGCACAGACACCGAAGACTGAAATGACACTCATTTTCACTGCTCAGGCAGAAAAACTGAGAAAAGAAAGCGCGTTTTCGGCAACAACTGCTCTTCCAGCTTGGACAGCTCAGGGTAGCCACTACGAGTCAGAAGTAGCGACGGGTGGAAGAAAGAGGATTAACCCCATTGTCGGAGCGAGTCTTTAGCTTGTACAGATTGCCCACCCTTGGGGAGAGCCCGCAGCGCAAGCGACTCCCAGGGGCTCTCTGTCACTTTGATTTCAGGAGGAAAAAGGAGCAGGGAGGAAGTTCGCAACAGCTCAGCAACGATACCAAAGTCTCCGTCTCGACTGAACATCTCTCCTTCAGGAAGCTCCCATGCCTGTGGCTTTCTTCCCAAAAACACATGTCCATCCAGAAGTGAGAGCACAGCCTGGATGTTGCAAAGACATCGAGCACCGGCAGCAAGGTCTCCTCTGGAGCAGCCTGCCTCCGAGCAGAGCCTCTCCCCTTCCTCCTCCTGCCCCAGCAGGGAGAGGCACCCCACTCCACCCACCCTTGGGGTGGCAGGAACAACTCCGAGCCAGCGTGATCCCACCTGCCCATCGGGCAGAACAACTCACCTCGCCACGGCCGCCTCTTCTCGCGGGGCCGAGTAGGCGCAGCCCATGGTCGGGGCAGGGAAGAGGCAGACAAAGAGTCGCAGGGCAGCGCGTCTGTCTGCGAGGGGAGGTGTGGGGGGACGGATCTAACTTAGCTCTGGAGCAACACGCACACAGGCCTCTCCATTCTGCTCCTCCTGGGCATTAAAGCCAAGCGGCAGCCTTTTGTTAAGGAGAAGAGAGTCAGCACAAAAGGTCCCGGCACAGGTCATATCAGGAGTGGTCCTGTCCGCTCAGATCCTCGTGGTGGGGCTTTGGAAGTTAGCGAGTGGATCCGCGCAGTCCTGAGAAACTGCAACATCTGGCAGCAGTGGCAGAAAGGAATTAGGAGTGGAGAATGAAACCTCCCAGGATCCTCTGCAGCACACGTCCCTCTCCCATCCGCATGGAGCAGGGGGACGGGACACAAAACCCTCCCCCAGCCTTGTTACCTTGGAAACTGTTTATATCACAGCTGCTTTTACATATATTCTTTTTTTTTTTAAAAAAAAAAAAAGAAGTCTACGTTGTAGCTGAATGAAACGATTCCAGACACTGCGTAAGCAACGCTACGGGTAACTATGGCAGTGCCATGACGGAGGTAGCTCAAAGGAGTTTGTTCTCCTCAGGATCCTATTAAATTAAATTAGAGATGGTCGGTCTCTCTCTCACACACACGCAGGCAGCAAAGAGAGCTAATCAGGCTAAGGAGTTGGAGCAGTTCCTGCCACAGGAAGCCCCACAAGCACCAGGGAATGGATTTCTCTATAGCTGCAGAATAGAGATAAGCCAATTTCTGCCCCTAACAATGTTAAAGACAGGGAAAAGGGAGGGGGTGACACCCAGAGTACCAATTGCTGTCTTGCCTGCGTCTCCCCAGGGTGACAGTCTGCACAACTCCAGAGCAGGGACACGAGAAAGGAAAGAAAACTGCGATTGAGAAACATGCAGAGGAGGCGGAGAAAAAGAATAAAACTAAATTAGTGCATTCCCCAGCAACGCCCTTGCGAGGAAGCGCGGTGGTCACGGCTGCGTGGCGATGGAGAGCCGCTGTCCCTAACGACATCTGCAGAGCAGGCTGTGGGGAAGGCTGCTCTGCTGGTTTCAATTAAGGCTGAAAATGGTCAAGACACAAGGGATCCTCAGACAGCAGCATCCCAGCCTGCCCCACACACGTGTTACACCACACAGGCTCAGGACATCTTGCATGCAAGCAACGACTGCGCAGGTTGGGCTCTGCCCCTTGTCTGGGGGCTTCGGCAGGGAGAACAGCTCCGCCTGGCTGCAAGGGTAAGGGATCAGCAAGCACCTGAGCACTACTTGAACCCAGGGACACATCTTCAGGGCAAGACCACAACTGTTCCCAAGCCAGGCAGGTCAGTGGAACCATTCAGAGTGAACCCAGCCCGGGTGCCATCCAGAACAGGGAATGCTGACCATGCATCTGTTCTTGCACAGCCAAGGGCAGCGGTGGCAGCGTGTCCTTCACAGACCCTGCTGATCGAGGTGTGCTGCTCAGTGGTGGCTCCCAAAAAAACCCCCAGGAGGGCACCGAGGTGCCAGGCCCTGTGTTCAGGACAGAGACTCTGCTCAGAGACTCTGCCACGCTGCAAGCACACCTGTTAAAGCAGCAGCCGTCGTGACGTGTCTGAATTGCTGATCAGCACTGTCGTCCTCCAGTCTCCCGAGGCTGAAGCTGGGAGCCAAAGTTGGGGGCCGAAGTGACAGAAACAGCCACCCAATACCATCAGATAAAGCAGCTGAGGACAGTTTGGTGAGTTGAGGCAGAGCTGCAGAGAACTCGCTGAAGAACAGCAACACCTCTTAAGGTCAAGACTCTCTGCTTCAAACGGGAGGTGCTGCTCTTCCACAGCTCTTACAGCAGCCCCACCGAGGGCTCTCTGCCTTCACGGGTCAGGTCAGCTTC